ATAGTTTTTCAGTTTATACTTTGAAAAGACAAAAAAAGTCTTAAAAAGGGAAAAATTAAACCTTTAGTTATGTAGTCAAGGAAACTCGCAGAAAAATGTGTAAAGTCTTGTCATCGAGAACCCTTTTTTTAAACAATTTCATGAGATACTCATAAATATTTTATTCATTACTTATTACATTTTTCAATATAATCCCAGTAAGCACAAAGACGTTTAAAAGACGTTTTAAAGATGTCTTTAAGGAGGTCTAAAAGGCGCACTTGTAGACGTCTAGATCGTAAGGCTAAAAGACGTCTAAATGAAGACGTCTTTATAAAAACGCGTTTTAGACGTATTTTAGACGTTTTTTCAAAGATGAATTTAAGTACATGACGTAACATTTTTGCGTAGTATGTGGTTTTTATTCATTGTATTTATAATATCATATATTGTTTAAATTTCGTATATACAAAATATACATAGGAACCAGCATTCAAAATAATATTGCTGTAATCACCACAAACGGTTGATGCATCAAGGATGAGTATAATATATAACAATAACAAATATATATCAAAACAGTATTATAAACATTTAAAACTTACCTTTATTTACATAATAACATATTACATACCATTCACTAGCTAATTTTTGACCGCATGCTTGAATTATTATATGGCTTGTGGGTATATAAAAACTAATAATACTGATATTTAACTTATATATTATTCTTGCCGTTTTCACTTATTATCATGATCAGTCAACTATCTATTAAAAAAGCAAAATACTTATTATAAAAAAAAGATATATTAATATTATAGCAATTATTTTAGTGATTCCTGTGACAACAATTTTACCAATTGTGTAAAAAAAGTAATTTAATTTAAAGTAATTTACACTTAAAACTTAAACAAATTATTGAAAATAATAAAAACTATGTTTTTTCTTTGAATATACGACATCTACTTAACGCGTAATGACAAAGCCGTCAAAAATAAGTCATAATGACATATTTATAAACAGAAAAGACGTCTTTTAGCCTTGATCTAGACGTCTTTTAATGCGTCTTTTAGACTATTAATTATGCGTCTTTTAAACGTCTTTTTAAACTTTAATAAGACGCATTTTAAACGTCATTTTAAAATCGCATTTATTAAAGACGTCTAGAAGATGCCTTATAAATTGACGTCTTCTAGACGTCTTTTAATTTTTTAAAAAGACGCCTTTTAAACGTCATTTTAAAAATGCATTCATAAAAGACGTCTAAAAGATGTCTTCAAAACGTCTATAAAAGTGCGTCTTTACCTAGACTAGCTTTAGACGTCTATAAGTGTCTAAAATGCATCTTGTGCTTACTGGGATTAGTCGTGCTTTTAGGAAGGAGCATAACATAAATATAACATGTATACATATATATATATATATATATATATATATATATATATATATATATTATAATATATATATATATATATATATATATATATATATATATATATATATATATATATATATATATATATATATATATATATGTATATGTATATGTGTATATAGTATATATATGTGTATATATG